GTCTTGGACCGGTTTGACATGGCGCGCGGCAACCCCCAGCCCACTCCCCTCTCGGTTGGGCACCACCTCTCCCCACCCTCCTCTCCCTCTCCCTCCTCCCATCCTTATCCGGAACTCATCGGCTCTCTCATGTACGCCATGGTTTCCACTCGCCCCGATCTTGCCTACCCCATCAGCGTCCTCGCTCGGTTCGTTGGCGCTGGCAAGCACACGGAAGAGCACTGGCAGGCCGCCAAGCGTGTCCTTCGCTACATTCGTGGCACCAAGGACTATGTCCTCACTCTTGGCGGCCCTTCCCCACCACACCTCAACGGCTACAGCGACTCTTCCTGGGCTGATTCTCGACCGGATCGGCGGTCCTCTCAGGGCTATGGCTTCTCCCTCGGCAGCGGTCTCATCAGCTGGCGGTCCACACGCTCCTCTGCCGTCGCCCTCTCCTCCTGCGAAGCAGAGCTCTATGCTGCGACCATGGCCGCGCAAGAAGCACGCTGGCTCACCTTCCTCCTTGATGAGCTCGGAGCCCCCCAACGCTGTCCCACCATCTGGTGTGACAACGCCAGCACCATCCACCTCACCAAGGACGCTGTGTATCATGGGCGCTCAAAACATATTGAGCTTCGCTACTTCTTCATTCGCGATCTCGTTGAGGCCGGCCACATTCGTCTTGGCAAAATCGACTCGGCAGCCAACCTCGCCGACATCTTCACCAAAGCTCTTCCCCAAGCGTCCCACTCCTTCCTGTTGCGTCTCCTTGGGCTCACCCCGCCACCAGTTTTGGCGGCCTCCTGATTACATTTTTTCTAGCCTTATGCATGTTGGGGGGTTGTGTTGTAAATGTATCTTATATATACAACATACATAGGCTAGAATAGGTGTAGCTCTTTAAGCTATTGGGGGGTTGGGTGTACACTCCAACCACACTTTGTGGTTGGGTCAAGATTTGGTTTGGTCTTGGTCCTTGGTTGGCACTTGCCAACATTTGGTCCTAAGGCCAACCAATCACAAGCTAGCAACATTGTGGGGTTCCCTACTCCACAAGGCAACTCACCCATTGGCCAACTTAGTGGCCAATAGGGTTGCACCTTCTTCCAACCTCTCTTCCTTGCATGCTTGTACTATAGAGCCTCCTTGGCTCATTACTCAACCATTCTTGAATTCTATCAGTAAGTAGTGGTAAGGAGGCATGGGGGTGAAGTATGGGGGTGGGTGGGGAGCGTGTGAGCAAGTGGGCAGTTCATTTCCTTAGGGGCAGCATCTCCTGAGGTTGTGGCTTGTGGGTCGGGGTGTGGTGGGTGGAATCTGCGCGGCACGGCACTCGGTGCTCAAGTAACCGATCTGGCGTTCAAAGCTTAATGGACACCGTCAGAGTCCACCGGCCGGCGACTCTGGTTCGCGTCAGCTCTAGCTACGTCAGGGGTGGGATTTGAGTCTTGGGCTGGAAACAATTCTCCACTGCCACACCTCGCCCCACAAGGTACAGCCACTGGGGGTGCTGTTTCCGAAAGGGAGTGGGCTGTCTGCTGCTCCTACTGCTGGCAGGTAAAGGTGGGGAGGGGGAAGAGGTGGTGGGAGATTGGTGGGGGGAGGGGTGGAGATGGTACACTGTGACATAGTTTGGTGTGACGTAGTGTGGTATGACATAGTGTGCTGTGACAGAGTGTGCTGTGACATAGTGTGGTGTGAGATAATATGGTGTGACATAGTGTGGTGTGACCTAGTGTGGTGTGACCTAGTGTGGTGTGACAGAGTGTGGTGTGACATAGTATGGTGTGACATAGTGTGGTGTGACATAGTATGTATCCTGTGGTATACATTGTGTGGTTCTGACATAGTATGTTTTGACATAGTAAAGTGTGGCATAATATGTGGTGTGGCATAGTGTGTGGTGTGACAGTGTGGTATGTTATTGTGTGGACCAATAGAGGGGCATGATACATTGTGGTATGTTACTGTATGATATAATAGGGTGTGTGGTGTGCAACAGTGTGGAGTGATACAGCATGGTGTGCAACAGTGTGGAGTGATACAGCATGGTGTGTTTACAGTGTGGTTTGAGACAGTGTAGTGTGATATGGTGTGGTATGAAGTGTTATGGTTTGATGGACTGCGGTGTGATACGGTATGGTAGGAATGATGAATGGTGTGGTATCAGCATGGTATGATTGAGTGGGTGTGACACACCTTTCCTGCATAGAGTGGCATAGTTCAGTGTGTGATGGTGTGATATTGTGTGACTGATGTGAACGAGTATGATGCAGACAGATGTGACCGTTTGTCATGGTGTGGCATTTCATGATGTGGCATGACATGGCATGGTGTGGCTTGCGATGGGTGACATGGCATGATGAGGTATGTCAATGTGTGGTATGTCGTGGTGTGGCATGGCATGTGTGGCAATGGATGATGTGGCATGGCATCTGTGGCATTGCATGGGGTGGCATGCCATTGTGTGGCATGCCATTGTGTGGCATGTCGTTGCGTGACATGGCATGGTGTGGCATGGCATGGTATGACATGGCATGGTGTGACATAGCATTGTGTGACATGACATGGTATGGCATGACATGGTATGGCATGACATGGTATGGCATGGCATGGTGTGGCATGCCATCATGCAATTCGCAGGCTGGCTGCATGGGAAGTGGATCACCATGCAAGGCAAGGAGGACAGTGTGTGGGAAAGAGGACGGAAGAAGGGTGGAGGACTGAATGTGTATGGCAAGCATGGCTGCCTTTGCTGCCTTACCATGCCACAGAGCTGCCACATGCCATGTCATGGAGAGCAGGGCATGTGCAATGTGCGCAGCAGCGGTTATTGTCTGATTCTTGGCTGCTGGGGCCTACTGCTGATAACTTCTAAAGCAACTGATTAGGGCCAGCTGCTGTATGAACAATGTTTATAATGTCAGCACAGTATACCTTGTTTGTATTGCTCATGTTAGTGTTTATTCCATGTATACCATTGAGAGAGCTGGTGCACTCTCCCATAAGGCAGAAGCGCCCATTGCCACTCGTTTTGAGAGGCTTGCCATCAAACTGTGGCCCTGATGTTGCTTTGGCCAAGTATAACTTGCTAGCGATTAACTTGTAACCTACTTTGGCCCTGGCATGGATAAACTAGCCGCATCGTGGTCAGAATCAGCGTTACGATGTCATCCACTTCAACTCACGGTCTACGTTCTCCATAATCTTAGTGCTTTAGGGGTTTGGCAAAACCACTTTACGCGGCGAGAAGTGCGAGAAGTAACAGTCGAATGGTGATACGCGTAACCATGAAACACCACATAAAATCTTAAGAAATAGTGGCTCTCGCCTTGCCAAACATGTACGGCCACTCTAACCATTATACCCATAAGAAAACTAGCCACAATGAGATAATTAGGGGTACAAATGTATGTCATATATATGGGTAAGATTCCGCGTTCCTATGCATATGCAAGACAGTGGACATGTGAGTTCGTGTCCGTAGGGTTGACATGTCAAGTGAGAGCGTGTCAACCCGAAGCGCATTCAAATTAGAGTGTCAAACTCTGTAGCTGAAGTGTCAAGTCGAAGCGCATGTACGAACATCAGCGACGGAATTTCATTGGTTTGAGAATTTGTCATGGGTGGATCTGCCAGGTAGCGAACAAATCAGAAGACAGATTGTGTGCTGATTGGGCAGCATCTGGTCGTGAGATAGGCACCTGCGACCATCTTCTCTCGTTTGTAGGTTTGACTGTGCCAATTTAGAAAGTGTCCGACGATTTGTATTGGATGGCAACCTGCAATTTCTTGACACCCTGCCAACAATGTTGGCTGAGTGTCAAAATGCCAAATTGACACTGCCCACTTTGACATGTCATCCCTACGGACACGACCTGAGAGTCGCACAACACAATGACGCGGTTTGTTTCGGCAAATTGACACCGGCTTCTTTTCCTCAACACCCCAGGTCGCTTGTTGTTTCAGGCTATTGCATACTCCTGGTGGGGTTTGCTCAGTAGTTATGAAACCGAGTGCCAAAGTATCAGGATATGTTTCTTGTTGGAAGCTCGGAATTGAAGTTTTGTTGAAGTTTTGTTTTGGTTACGAAACGTTTTTGGAACCAGCAAAGGGTTTCTACCGACCGTAGCACCAAATTTCAAGGGCCCCAAGCATCCACGCATTTCTCCGCCTCATGTGCCGTTGCGCTCCAATTCCTCTAATGTGACCGTTGTCTCGATTCAATTGATCTGCCTTCTTCCTCAGCTCTCACCAAAGCTTTCCTCCTTGTGCGAGTCTTCGAGGCTCTGCAAGTTTGTTGCTTGTCAAAATCCGTTGTTCTGGACAGATTCTTCGTCAACAGCAATTTGGCTGTTCACATAGTAATCCTTGCCTGCGTGCGAGACCGTCAGGAAGCCTGAAAGGACCCGGATTTTCGTGAAGCGGAAGAGGCATGACGTCACTGTACACAACATTCCGCCTTTTCCGCTGCAGCAGCAGAGTCTCACGTTGAACAAGACTTGCAGAGGGGGGTGGACCTAGTGATTTGCAGGTTTCTACGTGTAGTCATTTCACAGGCAACTTCATTTTCGACCCGCATGCGATAGGCCGTGCGATAGATAAGGCCGTCGCCAGATCGCCGTGTGTCGCCAGCTGAGCTCATGCGACGCAAGTTGAGCTCGTGCGACATTCTCTAATGCCAAATAGCGTATTCGCCGCCACCCGTGTCCCTTGGAGCCGTTTTTCTACTGTCACCCTCCCCTCCTCCCTTAACAAGAAACGCCACGTGTAGCTCAATCGTGTGCTGTATGGTGGTAACCAGCCGCTACGATTCCCGTTCTAATAGAAGCACGTTGCGGATGTCGGTTCCGGCTCTACCTATTCCCTCCATCTGAGATGGAGGGATACAGCCTAGGATACCTTCCCTGCCGCGTCTAAGCCTACGCTACAATTACGAGGAAACTCTCTTCGGGGGTGTTCTTGTCTTTTTTTTTTTTTAGTGCTTTTTTTTTTAAGGGCGGAAGTTAGTGTAGCTTATGTCAATGAAGGGCCCCATGTCCCCGCTCTCTCTGCGCGCGACGGAGCTGGAGGACCGGCCGCCGGAGTGGATGGCGCTCATCGCGCCGTCATCCTCGGCGGGCCCTGCGCCGCCTCTCCCGTCGGCGTCCAGCAGCAATGGCGGAGCAGGAGGCGGCTTAAAGCCCCGGTGAGCAAAGCGTAGATTCAATTGGCCCCTTAGAAGTCGTCCAGCAGCAATGGAGGAGCAGGAGGAGGCTTAAGGCCCCGGTGATCAAAGCGTGGTTTCCTCTGGGCTTGGATGGTGATAATGAGGGTCACAAATGCGAAACACCCAGCGATGGCGGAACAGAAGGTGGCTTAAGGACTCGGTGAGGGAAGCGTAGGTTCCCTCTTTTGTTCAACAGTTCGACGTCGTCGGTTCAATTTTCTTCTAGGCGCTGTAGAACCCGTCCAGCAGTTCTGGCGGAGCCGGAAGTCCCAGTGATCACAGCTCAGGTCCCTGTGTTTCACTACACTTTTGAAAGCACGCAACCATCCCCCCGTCTCTCTTCCCTTCTCTCTTCATCCCACCTCAGCCGCGTGCGAGTGCTGCCAGTGTCACACCCCTCCCACGCTGACATCTACGACAGCGGCTCCCAATCACACTCATTCATCCGTCCCCTTAACTCTCCTTCCTCTCTCTCCCCATTTCCTGAATCAGCCGCGTGCGAGTGCTTCCAGTGTCGCACCCCTCCCACGCTGACATCTACGACAGCGGTTCTCCCGGCGGGACCGGGGGTTTCATCGGTTCCAACTGCTGGGCGGCATTTTGGCGCGTAGTGCACTACCTCTTCCCGTGCACCAAGTGGATGGCGGCTTATAGCCTGCGAGACGACCTCGTGGCGGACCTTATAGCGGGGATAAGCGTGGGCGTGATGCTTGTACCACAGGTAGGACCGTAGGAGGACACGTGGAGGGGGTTTGTCAATATGGGTACCGGTTACTGTACTTCATTACTCGCTTTTAGCTCCCTTCTCCCCTCCAATTGTCATCTCCCCGTCTTGTTCCCAACCTTTTCAGATGCACCTTCTCCTGGATTTTTTTCTCTGTTTTTAAGCATTGTAGAATATCGCCACATTTTCCTGGTAACCCACACTCGTGCCCCTCAACCCATCAACCCCCTCTTTCCCTTCTCTCTCCTTCGTTCCATTCCGCCCCCCTCCGTTTCCCTGCTCTCCACCTTTTCCCCCTTTCTCTCTCCCTATCTTTCCTCCCTCCAACCCCCCCTCCCTCCCGTCCCATTTGCACAGTCAATGTCATATGCAAAGCTCGCCGGCCTACCTCCAATCTACGGCCTATGTACGTATATCATGCGCTAGACATGACTTTTTAGTGTCCCTCATGTATTTCTCGCCGTGTCCCTAATCCCACGTATGTATGTGTGGTATATGCTGCTCCACATGTCTTTAACGTGTGCACTCCACTCAATGTTAGAAGCAGAGAAGCGGATGTGGGGTGATGGGACTTGCAAAGCGCACCTTCTCTTCTCCTCTTTCCCCTGCCCTCTCCTCTCCCCGCTCCTGCCTCCCTCCTCTCTCCCCTTCCCCAAATCCCTCCACCCCCCCCCACCCCACCCCCCCTCCCAGACTCGGCGTTCGTGCCCATTCTGAGCTACGTGGTGTTTGGTTCGTCTCGCCAGCTGGCAGTGGGTCCCGTGGCGATCGTATCCATCCTCACATTCGACGGGCTCAGGAAGGTTGTAGCGGAGAAGCTCCGCGACTCGGCTGTAGCAGCGGGTTTGGCTGCAGCAGCAGGCGGGTTCAGCCCCACGGCAGGCCTGGCTGTAGCAGGCGGGTTGGGCTCCACGGCTGTAGCAGGGGGCGTGGTTGGGGGGATAGAGCTCCCGGCTGGGACTGTGATGGGTGAATTTCAACCCTCTCGGTCGCTGCTGGAATTCCGAACCTCTGTTGGCGGCAGTAGCAGTAGCGGCAGTGGTTTTCCGTTCCCTGTGAGCACGGCTGCACGGCAGCTGAGTAGCATGGGGTGGGGGGTCACAGCAGCGGAATTGACAGGTGGAGGAGGAGGAGGGATGACAGGAGGAGGGATGCTAGGAGGAGGGGCGGTAGGGGCGGCGGATGTGAGTATGGAAGAGTTGGCAGTGCTGCTGGCGCTGATGGTGGGACAGCTGGAAGTGCTCATGGGCCTGCTCAGGTGAGTCTTCTTAGGTGTTCTTTGATGTAGATAGCAGGAGGGATGTGAGCGTGGAGCATTGAGCAGTGCTACTGGCGCTGATGGTGGGTGGGACTGCTAGGAGTGCTCATGGGATTGCTCAGGTGAGTGCTCTCTCAGGTGTTTTATCAGTAAACTAGCAGCAGCGGCAGCAGGGGCAGGAGGGGCAGCAGGGGCGGGTGATGTGAGCATGGAGGAATCGGCAGTGCTGCTGACTGCTCGAAGTGCTTATGGGTCTGTTCAGGTGACTTCCCTCAGGTGTTCCCTCAGGTGCTTCTGAAGGGGCAGGAAGGGGGGGAGTGTGTGCATGGAAGAGTTGGCGGTGCTGCTGGCGCTGATGGTGGGTGGGACTACTCGAAGTGCTCATGGGCCTGCTCAGGTGAGTCTTCTTAGGTGTTCTTTGATGTAAATAGCAGGAGGGATGTGAGCGTGGAGCATTGAGCAGTGCTACTGGCGCTGATGGTGGGACTGCTAGAAGTGCTCATGGGCCTGCTCAGGTATGTGTTGTGCTCTCAGGTGTTCGCTTTCAAAAGCTTCTCATCCGTGCTTTTAACAGGCTTCTCATCTGTGCTTTTAAGGGGCTTCTCATCTGTGCTTTTTAAGGGGCTTCTCTGGTCCACGGGGTTAAGAGTTTCTTGGGTTTCTCCTGGCCCCCTTATTCCATACCTCGTCTCATCGTGTTTCCGGAAGATGAGCCTTTGGTTCAAGTTTCTCCGTCCTCCATCCCTCTCTCACCCTCCATGTCTCTCCTCCCGTCCCTTTTCTTTCCAGAATGGGCTGGCTCGTGCGCTTCCTCTCGCACAGCGTCGTCTCGGGGTTCACCTCAGGGGCGGCTCTCCTGGTGTGCGTGTCCGTGGCAAAGGACATTCTCGGCTTCTCCATGCCGGGTGAGTGGGGGGGGGGGGTGGGTGTGAATGAGGGGGATGGGACCACAGGGGGAAGAGGCTAGTCAGTGTGTCCGCCTCATTGTCCTCCTCTGCAGCAACTCTCCTGGTGTGCGTGTCCGTGGCAAAGGACATTCTCGGCTTCTCCATGCGGGGTGAGTGAGAGTACTTTGGGTGAGGGCGTTGAGTGGGCTATAACAGGCGAGCAGGGCAGGGTCGACAGCTTCAGGGAAGAAGGGGGCACTGCTGGTGCTGCTGCCGCCGCCGCCGCCGCCGCCGCCGCCGCCGCCGCTGCTGCTGCTATTGCCGCTGTTGGAGCTGGAATTTCCATCCCCTGCTGGTGCTGAGATGCTAAGTTGCCTTTTCCCCCACCGCTCTCCCTTACTCCTCGCCCACACCCTTCTAATCCCGCTCTCGTGCCGTATGCACGGCAGGCCAGACGGCGTTTGTGGCGGCGCTGTCGCACATAATGAAGCAGATAATGGCGAGGAAGGCTCACTGGGAGCCCATGGCGTACAATCAAGCAGACTGTGGCAGGCACTGAGTTGCCTCACCCCTCTCCCTTCTCCCCTACTCACACGGCAGGCCAGACGACGTTTGCAGCAGCGCTGTCGCACATAATCAAGCAGATAATGGCGGGGAAGGCTCACTGGGAGCCCATGGCGCTGGGAGGGGGCGCGCTGCTGCTGCTCCTGCTGATGAAGGAGGCGGGCAAGAGCTGGAAGTCGCTGCAGGTGCTGCGATGTGCCGGACCCTTCACCAGCATTGTTCTTGGAGCCCTGGCGGTCAAGTTCTGGCGGCCTCAGCATGTGCCCGTGGTGAGTCTCTTAGGAAGGTTCAGGCGCAGTTTTGCTGCTGCTGCTGCTGCTGATGAAGGAGGCGGGCAAGAGCTGGAAGTCGCTGCAGGTGCTGCGATGCGCCGGGCCCTTCACCAGCATTGTTCTCGGTGCCCTAGCGGTCAAGTTCTGGCGGCCCGCGCATGTGCCCGTGGGGAGTCATCTAGCCAAGTTCAGGGGTTGTCCTTGTTCATAGTTCTTCTGCTGCTGCTGCTGCTGCTGCTGCCGCCGCCGCCGCCGCCGCCGCCGCTGCTGCTGCTGCTGCTGACGACGACGACGACGATGATGCTGATGAAGGAGGCGGACAAGAGCTGGAAGTTCCTGCAGGTGCTGCAATGCACAGAGTCATTCACCAGCATGGTGCTCGGTGCCCTGGCGGTCAAGTTCTGGCAGCCCGCGCATGTGCCCGTGGCGAGTAACCTAGAAGAAATATGGGGCAATTCTGCTTCCCTTCCCATTTTCCATCCCCACTTCCCATCCCCACTTCCCACCCCACTTCCCACCCCCACTTCCGTTCTATCACAGGTTGGTGAAATCCCCCAGGGTCAGCCCTCCCTCTCCACGGCCTTCCCCTGGGAGTACTTCCCAAACCTACTCCCCACAGCGCTGGTCATCACAGGAGTAGCCATCTTGGAGTCGTGCGGAATAGCCAAGGCGCTCGCAGCACGCAACGGCTACGCCATCAACACGCTCCTCTTCTGCCCCTTCCCCACTTCCCACCCCAACTTCCCTTCCACCGCAGGTTGGTGAAATCCCCCAGGGTCTACCCTCCCTCTCCACGGCCTTCCCCTGGGAATACTTCCCAAAACTTCTCCCAACAGCTCTCGTGATAACGGGGGTGGCCATCCTGGAGTCATGCGGAATAGCCAAGGCGCTGGCAGCACGCAACGGCTACGCCATCGATGCCAACCAGGAGCTCTTTGGGCTCGGCATGGCGAATGTCATCGGCTCCTTCTTCTCCTCCTTCCCCACCACCGGTGAGTGTAGTCCCCCTTCTCGCGATCAGCCCTTCCCTTGGATAGCCCTTATCCAGGACAGCCCTTCCCCAGGACAGCCCTCAAAGGCTCTTTGGGCTCGGCATGACCAATGTCCTCGGCTCCTTCTTCTCCTCCTTCCCCACCACTGGTGAGCCTAGCCCCCTTGTCCTTACCACAGTCCTTACCCATTACAGCCCTTACCGATTACAGTCCCTACCCATACAACCCTTCCGCATGGCATACAACCCTTCAGCACGGTGGTTTTGCCCTGGCATGGCCAACGTGCTTGGTTCCTCCTTCTCCTTTCCCCACCTTCCCCCCACGAACCCCATCACTGCAGGTTCCTTCTCCCGCTCGGCAGTGAACAACGAAGTGGGAGCGCGCACGGCACTGAGTGGGCTCATCATGGCTCTCATGGTCGTGGCCACGCTGCTCTTCCTCACACCAGCTTTCAGAGACGTGCCGCAGGTAGGCTGGTACATGGTGGGTGTGGAGTGGTGGGTCTGAAAGGGCGTTCAGCTCGGGCATATGGTCCATATCACACATGGCACGGTACTGAGTGATATGGACCATATGCTCATCATGGTTCTTATGGTTGTTGACACTCTGCTCTTCCTCACCCCGGCCTTCCGAGACGTGCCGCAGGTAGGGTGGTGCCCCAGGTGTATGGTGGGTGTGGCGTGTGGGTCAGCTGGCGGCAGCGGTGGTGGTGCATGCAGTGCACGGCCTGGTGGACCTACAGGAGCCACTCTTCCTCTGGCGACTAGCTGTTTGGCTTGGCTGCTCATTGCTGCACCACACTCCACACCCCTGCCCCCCATGCATCCCGCTCCTTCTCCCCTCTTCCACCGCTCTCACCGCAGTGTGTGCTGGCAGCGGTGGTGGTGAATGCAGTGCACGGCTTTGCGGACCTACAGGAGCCGCTCTTCCTCTGGCGGGGGTAGCTGCTTGGCTTCTCATTGCTGCACCACACCCACTCCACACGCCCGTCCCCCACATCCCGCTCCTTCTCCCATTTCCAACTCTCTGCCCCACACCACAGTGCGTGCTGGCAGCAGTGGTGGTGAATGCAGTGCAGCAGTGCATGGCTTGGTCGACCTACAGGAGCCGCTCTTCCTCTGGCGGGGGTAGCTGCTCGCCCTTTACTTGACTCATCTACTCCCACCTACCGCTGCGCCTCCCCCCTGCCTACCTTTCCCGTTTCAGTGCGTGCTGGCAGCGGTGGTGGTGAATGCAGTGCATGGCCTGGTGGACCTACAGGAGCCGCTCTTCCTGTGGCGAGTGGAGAAGAAGGACCTCGTGCTCTGGCTGTGCGCCTTCCTTGGGACCCTACTCCTTGGCCTGGAGACTGGCGTGCTCATCTCGGTACGTGGCTGTACCAGTGGTCCAGTGGTAGTGAGGTTGAGGGGTTGGGGTTATGGGGCTGGGAGGCTGGGGTGAGGCAGGAGCCGCTCTTCCTGTCGCGAGTGGAGAAGAAGGACCTCGTTCTCTGGCTCTGCGCCTTCCTTGGGACCCTACTCCTTGGCCTGGAGACTGGTGTTCTCATCTCGGTATGTTGCTGTGTCAGTAGGAGTGAGGTGGGGAGGTTGGGGCGAGGCAGTATCCACTCTTCCTGTGGCGCGTGGAGAAGAAGGACCTCGTGCTCTGGCTCTGTGCTTTTCTGGGGACGCTGCTGCTGGGACTGGAGACCGGCGTGCTCATCTTGGTATGTAGGTGCAAGAAAAGTTGGGGGATGAGTGGGGGAAGAGGGTAGAGGGCGGGTGGGAAAGTGAGGCGGGTGTGGCGGGTGGAGGAGAAGGTGGGGCCTCGTGCTCTGGCGACTTTTGAGTCGACTCAAAAGTGCTCTGGCTCTGCACCTTCCTAGGCACTCTTGCGTACCCATATCAGAGGGGCGAAGAGAATCCGCATGAGTGAGTTTGAAGCCCCCTCTACCTATAGAGGGTGGGGCATGGAGTGCCTCTGGATCGTGCTCTTCCTCACATTGCCTCTGGATCGTGCTCTTCCTCACATTGCCTCTGGATCGTGCTCTTCCTCACATTGCCTCTGGATCGTGCTCTTCCTCACATTGCCTCTGGATCGTGCTCTTCCTCACATTGCCTCTGGATCGTGCTCTTCCTCACATTGCCTCTGGATCGTGCTCTTCCTCACATTGCCTCTGGATCGTGCTCTTCCTCACATTGCCTCTGGATCGTGCTCTTCCTCACATTGCCTCTGGATCGTGCTCTTCCTCACATTGCCTCTGGATCGTGCTCTTCCTCACATTGCCTCTGGATCGTGCTCTTCCTCACATTGCCTCTGGATCGTGCTCTTCCTCACATTGCCTCTGGATCGTGCTCTTCCTCACATTGCCTCTGGATCGTGCTCTTCCTCACATTGCCTCTGGATCGTGCTCTTCCTCTGGAGGCTTTTGTGCTCATTCCCCTCTTTCCCCTGCCCTATTTCGCCTTCCCCATTTCCCCTTCCCCGTACCTTCTTTCCCCGTACCTTCTTCCTGCTCCCCTTTCTGTTAGAATACCATCCTCACTTGTAACCTGCATCTATCCTATAAGCTACGGTTAGAGTAGACACCCAAATGTAGTTTGGGTGTAGAGCTGGGGCTAACCCTAATTGGGGGTTGCAACTCAACACTTGGCTCCGAAGGTGAGGTTGGGAATTATTGGCCCCTCCAATAATGTTGAACCACCTTTGGTCAACATTATTGGTCCCCCCAATAATTCCTCAACCTAACTTATTGGTGGGGGCCAATAATGTTGGCTAGGCTCCCAACCAAACCATCCCTCCTAGCACAACTATGTATACCCCTTCTATTCCTAATATCATCAATGGTTCTTCCTCACGTTTTCTCACACTTTCCCCCTCCCCTCCGCCCTGGCAGGTGGCTCTCTCTCTCGTCTTTGTCATTCACGAGTCTGCCAATCCGCACATGGGTAAGCCTACCTTTGAGAATTCTCAAAAAATCCGCACATGGGTAAGCCTACCTTTGAGAATTCTCAAAAAATCCGCACATGGGTAAGCCTACCTTTGAGAATTCTCAAAAAATCCGCACATGGGTAAGCCTACCTTTGAGAATTCTCAAAAAATCCGCACATGGGTAAGCCTACCTTTGAGAATTCTCAAAAAATCCGCACATGGGTAAGCCTACCTTTGAGAATTCTAAAAAAATCCGCACATGGGTAAGCCTACCTTTGAGAATTCTCAAAAAATCCGCACATGGGTAAGCCTACCTTTGAGAATTCTCAAAAAATCCGCACATGGGTAAGCCTACCTTTGAGAATTCTCAAAAAATCCGCACATGGGTAAGCCTACCTTTGCCATCCCCAGTCTCTGCCGTCCTCGTAGGTTGCCATCCCCAGTCTCTGCCGTCCTCGTAGGTTGCCATCCCCAGTCTCTGCCATTCTCCTATTTGCCATCCCTTATCTTTGCCATCTGCACGTGGTCATCATCTGTGCCTCCACCCCTCTCCACCCCTCTCTGCCCATCCCACTCCCTTTCTTTCTCAGCTCTGCTGGGTCGTCTACCAGGCACCACGGTCTACCGCAACGTGAAGCAATATCGCGATGCATACACCTACAGGGGTGTGGTCATCCTCGTGTGTGCCTGCACCACTCTCCACCCCTCTCTCTCCCTCTCAGCCGTGCTGGGTCGCCTACCAGGCACCACGGTCTACCGCAACGTGAAGCAATACCGCGACGCATACACGTACAGGGGCGTGGTGATTCTGCGCATTGACTCGCCCATCTACTTCGCCAATGTGGATTACATCAAAGAGAGGTGCGTGCGGTGCCCTCTGTAGGTGCGCTGTAGGTGGGGTGTAGGTGTGTAGCGTGGCAAGGGGTGAGCCGCCGGTACAAACGGTGCTCCGTGCTGACTCGAGATGCCTCACAGCACGTGTAAGAGAGGTGTGCTGTAGGTGTGTGGTGTGGGAAGGGGTGAGCCGGTACAAACGGTCCTCATGCTGATTCGAGACGCCCCACAGCACGTACAGGGGCGAGGTGATGCTGCGCATTAACGCGCCCATCTACTTCGCCAACGTGGACTATATCAAAGAGAGAGGGCGGCGTGGTGCAAGAGGAGCACCGCACAAGAGTGCTGATTGTTACCAGAGCCAACGTTGCCTCTCCACCTTGCCTGCTTGCCGTGCGCTTGTGCTCCCTCATCTCACCTTAGGCTACGCATGTACGAGCTGCAGAGGGTGGCATGGGTGAAGGACCGTGGGTGATTGACATGCTGTCCTTATCCCCTCTCTCTCTGCCCTTTCAACCCCACTCCCCCCATGTCACCTCAGGGAGCGGGGCAGAGAGTCAAGCCTGCCTCAAGCAGTGGCTCTCCATCTCCTCCTGCCCCCTCTCCCTCCTCTCCCCGCCCCCTCTCCCCTTCCCCCCTCTGCAGGCTACGCAAGTACGAGCTGCAGAGTGTGGCATGGTGGAAGGAAGGCAGCAGCGGCCGCAGTGGGGTTGTGAGCCATCATCCATGCCCGCGATTCATCTACCGTGTCTCTCCACCCTATCCACCCTCTCCACCCCCCTGCCCATACCACCTCAGGCTGCGTAAGTACGAGCTGCAGAGGGTGGCGTGGTGGAAGGACGGCAGCAGCGTGGCTGGTTGACATGCTGCCCTTATTTCGTCTCTCTCTCTCTGCCGTCTCTGCCCTCCCTTTCCCCACCCCCTCTGCAGGCTGCGCAAGTACGAGCTACAGAGGGTGGCGTGGTGGAAGGACGGCAGCAGCGGCAGCAGCGGGGGCAGGCTGGCAGGCAGCAACGGACATGCTGTCATGGACCTGCGCTTCCTCATCCTCGAGATGTCCCGTGAGTGCTTGTTGAGTGGTTGTCATTTGACGTGCCTCAAGCCGTGGCAGCAGCGGCAGCAGTGGCAGCAGCGGAGGCGAGCAACGGGGCGAGCAACGGACATGCTGTCATGGACCTGCGCTTCCTCATCCTCGAGATGTCCCGTGAGTGCTTGTTGAGTGGTTGTCATTTGACGTGCCTCAAGCCGTGGCAGCAGCGGCAGCAGTGGCAGCAGCGGAGGCGAGCAACGGGGCGAGCAACGGACATGCTGTCATGGACCTGCGCTTCCTCATCCTCGAGATGTCCCGTGAGTGCTTGTTGAGTGGTTGTCATTTGACGTGCCTCAAGCCGTGGCAGCAGCGGCAGCAGTGGCAGCAGCGGAGGCGAGCAACGGGGCGAGCAACGGACATGCTGTCATGGACCTGCGCTTCCTCATCCTCGAGATGTCCCGTGAGTGCTTGTTGAGTGGTTGTCATTTGACGTGCCTCAAGCCGTGGCAGCAGCGGCAGCAGTGGCAGCAGCGGAGGCGAGCAACGGGGCGAGCAACGGACATGCTGTCATGGACCTGCGCTTCCTCATCCTCGAAATGTCACGTGAGTGCCTTATGATTTGAGATGTGATTACCGCAAGCACACATGCAGACACGGGCTGGCAGGCAGCAATGGCGGGGCCAACGGTATGGCTGTCATGGACCTGCGCTTTCTCATTCTCGAGATGTCCCGTGAGTGTGTTTTTCTGTCCTTCACATCTTTCTCTTTAGTCGGCTGTCCTGTGGGTTCCTTGGACTATTCTTTGCCCTTAGTCTTCAAAGAAACAAAAAAGAGGAATGTATGCTCCTTTTTCCCCGCATCCCCTGTCCTTCTGCTCTCCTACCCCCACCCCCCTCTTGCAGCCGTTACTTATATCGATTCCACGGCCGTGCACGCCCTCAAGGAGCTCTATAACGAGTACAAGGCGAGAGACATCCAGCTGTGCTTCTCCAACCCCTCGCCCAAAGTCATGCTCACCATGGCCCGGGCCGGCTTCCCTGACCTGATCGGCCGCCAGTGGTACTTCGTGCGAATCCACGACGCTGTTCAGGTGAGGGCGCGCTGGCTTAGAAGGAAAGGGGCAGAAAGGGGGGGTTGTTGGGAGAGGAGTTGGAGAGAGATTGGACTTCCAACCCCTCTCCCAAAGTCATGCTCACCATGGCCCGGGCCGGCTTCCCTGACCTGATCGGCCGCCAGTGGTACTTCGTCCGCATCCACGACGCTGTTCAGGTGAGCTTGTTAAGGAGAAGGGGAGGGGGGGAAGGGGGCTATGTCTGACTGACCTTTTTCCTGATTCGTCTTGTGCTGCTGAAATCCACCATTAAAGCCCCTTATCGCTTCTGTTCACCTTACCTCAGTACCCGCTTCTTTCCTCTGCCCTCGCTGCTCCCACCAGGTGTGCCTTGCCCTGCTGGAAGATACAGAGATCACCATCGAAACCCCTTCACGCTACCAGCGAGCAGATTCGACAGCAGCCAGAGCAGCTGCGTCTCAGGCAGGAGGGAGCCGGCAGCAGCAGCAACCGCAGGGAGGAGTGCGGGAGGAGCGGCCCCACACCCCTTCACACCATCACCCGAGGACCCAGCAGCAGCGGCAGCAGCAGCACGAGGGGAATCAGCAGCAGCAGGGAGAAGGGGATGAGCCGAGGGTAAGCTTGCAGCAGGAGCAGCTGCAACTGCAGCAGCAGCACCAGCAGCAGCTGCAGCAGCTGTTGTATCAGCAGCAGCAGCAGCTGCAGCTACAGCAACAGCAGATGCAGCAGCAGCTGCAGATGCTACACCAACTCATCCTGCCTCCTCACCACCAACAGCAGCAGGGGCAGCTGGGGCAGCAGCAAGGGCAAACCCAATCACCTGAGCGAACACCTGTGTGGGAGATCCAGCCCCAGGTGTCCCTGCAGGTGTCTCCCACACCAGGCCTCACCCTCTCCCCGCACCTGTCTGCCAGCTTCGTGAATCTCGCCCAGGCTGCCCAACGAGCCAGCAGCTCCAACTCTGAAGGTGGGTTGAGTACGGTTGGGGAGGATATCCAGTCCATGTCGGGGGAGTCAGAGGAGAGCATGGGTGCGAGGCGGAGGAAGAAGCAGAGTGTGGCGTCAGCTGCTGCCGATGCAGCAGATGCTGCAGAGGATGCGGCATTCTTTGAAGGGAGGATGAGCAGTGGGACCACTGTGGGGGATCTTGCAAGTAGCTTGTCTCCCTTCTTGGAGACCGAAGGGACATTCCAAGGGCTTGATTGATGTGAACGTTTACAAGGCAGTTGTAATTTGTACTTGTGCTGGTTTGCTTTGCAATAAGACTATTTTTCAGAGGATGCTGGCAAAAAGACGTAAGATTCCAGGGCATCAGACTCTCAACATTACAGCTAAAAAAACACCCTAATGTGGAGCCCGAAACAAATTGTCAACCAATGGCATGTACTTTATATTTTATATTGGGAACTATCAAACCAGGAATAATACATGACAGAGCTAAGTATGAGTCGACCCGGGGTAAAATGGGAGTGAGTACAAGCTATAGCGGGAAAGAGAAAAATTGTTGGATGACGTGGCCGCTGAGGTAACCAATCACAGGCAGTTGCGGCGCTGAAAAGTTGACTCCATTCCTCGCCGCGACGTTGACGAAATTCTGGCGAAGCTCGCTGAGCTCGCGCACCAGCTTTTGCCTCCGCAACGGCAGGGAAAGCGGCGAAGCGAGGAGGAGTCGAGGCCAATCCGCCGTCGTTTTCCGCGGCAATATCCGAGCGAGGTCAGATGATTGGTACAACCAGGCATGTGAAATGTCGCAAGTGGTTGGGTTGGATGGGATGGCGCGGCATTTTGGAGGGCGGTCCGGTGTCGGAGCAAATGGTGCCGCCAACATGGGGGAGTCTTCAGGCTTACGGGGAGAGGGGAGGGAATCTTTCTCCGCCTATGCGCGCATTCCCTCACACTTCTGCGCGCGCGACCAGCGCCAACCACGTGGTCGGATACACTGGCCACAGGAGTGAGCGAGCGAGTCAATTGTGAATCGTGATTGTTGTGTTGATGCGTGCTAGTGCCACCAACAGCCCCAGCATGCATCTAGGAGAAGGAAACCCTAAAATTACCCCTGCGACTCACCCTGACTAAGTGCAGTGAAGCAGTGACACTAACAGGTGGAATCAGGATCGCGTCGCGACACTTAGTGTTAGATCACGAGTTAGTTTAGGTTAGATTCTCGCCATGTGATCACTGCGCAGCCTTCCGAGACTCTGACGCCATGGATCGCGGCTCAGCTGCCGCTGATCCGTTTAGGATTGAGATAAGCTATGACGATTTGTTCCCGCACATAGTGTACCTGAACGACCTGAGACACGATCCGGACAAGGTCAAGGATGGATCAGCGGCGGCGGGCGATTCGGGACTTGTCTCCAAATGGAGAATGAAGGATCGGGTACGATTTACTGTTTCGCCTTTGGGTCAACGGTTTTCGCGTCAGAAATGCTCTATCGACGCTTTAGTTCTTTAATCGCGGATTCTAACTGGTGATCCTTTCGGCTTTGGGGGTGGTGCGAGCTTGAGCGAGTTTCGCTGGTGACGATAGGCGAAGCTCCACATTGGCGATACATGGTAACGTCGGCTGGCGACACTTGGTAGCTTCCACTGGCGAATCATGGTAGCTATCACTGGCGAACCATGGTAGCCTTGACTGGCGAAACGCGGTAACTATTGCAGGCGAATCATGGTAGTTGGCGAAACATGTTCACCCTCCACAGACGAATAGACGTCTTCATAGCTAGGCAACTGTTACGTACGCGACTACGCGGAAATTGCCATCAATGCAATCTTTCGCTTGCAGATTAGGCGACGGCTTGTCAATCGACGATCGTGTAGCTTTCCACCCACAGGTTGGGTTATTGCGGTTAGGTTCCAAAAGAGAATATGATTAAGTCTTAATGTTCTGTTCGCTTCCTTCGTCCCTCTCTCCCTTCCCCACCTCCCTGCGCAGATGAATACCACTCTCTGCTGCAAATAAATCCCTTGATCATCGACCCCGTCCCCTACTCCAATCCCCTTTTCGACTCCCCCTTCCCGATCCTTCCCTCTCATTGCTTCACCTTTCCTTTTCTTCGTCCTTTCCACTTCCCTGTCCGTCGCCCCCTTCTCGCCCCCCCTCTCGCGCCCCCCACACCTCCCCACTCCCCCCCACAATCCTCCCCCCCTTCCTCCTCCCCCTCCCCCTCCCCCTTTCCCCCCGCAGATGAAGACGAGCAGCGTGGCCATCGTGCTGTGCCTCAACATCGGAGCGGGGTCCAACTCGCCCAGGCCCCCAACCACCCCCCCAACCCCCACCCTCCAACCCCCCACTCCCGCACCCCCGCCTCTCCCTCTCCACCCCCCGCAGATGAAGACGAGCAGCGTGGCCATCGTGCTGTGCCTCAACATCGGCGTTGACCCGCTTGACAATTGAATCTTTCCCCCCATTGTCTTCCCGCTTCCCCCTCCCCTCCCCCCTTTCCCCCCGCAGATGAAGACGAGCAGCGTGGCCATCGTGTTGTGTCTCAACATCGGAGTGGACCCGCCTGACGTCATCAAGATCTCGCCCTGCGCGCGAGTCGAGTGCTGGATTGGTCAGTCAGTACCCAGCTGCTGTCTCTTCCCAAACATCATCCTCTGTCAGAGATCGCCCTTTTACTTGCTGGCAACCTTTTTTAAAATACCTGCATTCTTCACATCCTCATTCATTCGTCCTAATAAGTCATGTCATTTCTCTGTTCCTTTCCCGTCCAGTCCACCCTACGCTGACCGTCCTTCCATCCCTTCCCGCACCCGCCACCCCCTTCTTCTCCCCCTCACTCACCCCTTCTCCCCCTCATTCTCCCGTCTTCCTCGCTCCTGCAGATCCCTTCTCAATGAATGCACAGAAGGCCCTGGACACCATTGGGAAGAACCTTGTTTCTTCATCCCACTCAGCATCACACTGTCTTGGGTTTGCGCTCCGCCCTTCCATTCCACCACCCTTCTCCCCTCTCCCCACTGCAGATCCCTTCTCAATGAATGCACAGAAGGCCCTGGACACCATAGGGAAGAACCTTCAGGCGCAGTACGAGCGCTGGCAACCCAAGGTGTGGTGTGGTAACCAGCCTCAAACAAGGTGTGGTAACCAGCCGTGGTAACCAGCTGTGATGAACATGTGGTAACTGGTCGTAGTCAACAACACGCGATAACCGGCCATGATCAACATGTGGTAACCAATTAGCAATAAGCTGCACATTTCATGCCTTACTTACACCACATAGCTGTTCTGTTCGTTCTTTCTCCTCCCAACTTTCCGATCCGCAGGCGCGACACAGGGTGGGGAGCTCTGGGGAGCTCTGGGGATCCCAACACCCCAGGTGGGGTGCAGCTGGATGCCATGGTTGAGGAGCTGTGGCTGACTTCTGAGTCGACTCAAAAGTCACCCCAACTTTTTGATCCCCAGGCAGGCGCGACACAGGGTGCAGCTGGATGCCATGGTTGAGGAGCTGTGGCTGACGTGTGAGAATCCATCCATACTTTAAATATCCCTTCCCTCTCCTCCCCGTTCCCCCCCTTCCCATGTCTCCGCCAGGCGCGCTACAAGGTACAACTACACCCGACAGTGGAGGAGGTGAAGAAGCTGTGCCTCAGGTGTGGTAACCCGTGCATCACATCTTTCCCCCCACCCCCCTCTCCCAACCTCTCCTTCCCCTCGCGCCTCCTCTCTCCCCCAGGCGCGCTACAAGGTGCAGCTAGACCCCACGGTGGAGGAGGTGAAGAAGCTGTGCCTCACGTGCCGCCGCAACGCCAAGGCAGAGAGAGTGCTGTTCCATTACAACGGCCACGGCGTGCCCAAGCCCACGGGCAACGGGGAGATCTGGGTGTTCAACAAGGTGGGAGATTTGGGAAAAAGGACTTTCCACTCAGTCGGCTTGTTTTGTGCAACATTGTACCCTTATGGGGGCGTAATGATGCTGATATGATTACGTTCTCATCCAAACCTCATTCCTCCCTTCTCCACGTCCCCCAACCTCCCTCCCGTGTCGCCTCCCCTCATCCCCCTCTGGCCAATCCCACACAGACGTACACGCAGTACATCCCTCTGTCCGTGTACGAGCTCGACTCGTGGCTCGCCACGCCCTCCATCTACGTCTTTGACTGCTCTGCCGCTGGCATGATCATCAACGCGTTTGTAGAGGTGAGGAAGTAGGGGCGTGTGTGAGCTAGGGTACAGCACAGGTGCCCTCTTTCACGTCATTGCGTTTGCCAGGGTAGGTAGGGGTGTCTCTCCTTCACACGCATTGCCAGCTGGGTGGGTGTTCAACAAGACGTACACGCAGTACATCCCTCTGTCCGTGTATGAGCTTGACTCGTGGCTGGCGACACCGTCCATCTATGTCTTTGACTGCTCTGCTGCCGGCATGATCATCAACGCCTTTGTTGAGGTACGTTACACAGGACCTCTTTCACCTGCCATGTGGGTGGGTGTTCTTTCGCCCGTCCTCGCGTTAGCCTAGGAAGGTAGGTAGGTAGGGTTCCCTAACACTCATTGCCACTAGCAGCTGGGTGTTCAACCAGACGTACACACAGTACATCCCGCTATCTGTGTACGAGCTCGACTCGTGGCTCGCCACGCCCTCCATCTACGTCTTTGACTGCTCGGCCGCCGGCATGATCATCAACGCGTTCGTGGAGGTGAGGGGAAGCTAAACACGTCTTTGGAGGCACCATACGCGTAACTCTTACCTGTGATCGTCCGGACCGCCTTAGCAGCAGCAGCAGTTGAGGCGCCTCAGAAATCACTTTCCCTTCCTCTCCTGCCACCACTGTCACGTTAGCAGCGAGGGCAGAAGCCTCTTTGTCGCTCCATTCACGTTCTTCCTCCTCCCTTCCCCTGCCTCCCCTGCTTCCCCTTCCCCGCCTGCTTCCCCTTCCCCCTTTCCCTCCCCCACAGCGACCGGACTGGGCCCTAGCAGCACCGTCCAGCCCCCTCGCGTCCCCAACAGCAGCCAGCAGGGAAGCAGCAACCGCCACAGCGGCAGCAGCAGCGGGCATGCGCGATCGCATACTGCTGGCAGCGTGTGGCCCAGAGGAGATTCTCCCTCAGCCGCCTGATCTGCCAGCTGACCTCTTCACTGCGTGCCTCACCACCCCCATCAAAATCGCTCTGAGATGGTGAGTGTTGTTACACTGATAGGTTTTTTGCGCTCATAACTCGTCCTTTGTCGCTTGATTGACATGGTGGACCACACACACTCCCTCCCTGCTTGCCTCGCGCCAGTGTCTGTCTGTCTCTGCGCACTCACTGCGAGAAACCAGGCTCTACATGCTCATCGATGAGCATGCGAGTATGCAGAGCATGGAACCAGGCTCTGCATGCTCATCGACTTCTCCCCTGCCACGCTCACTGGTTCTGCTCACGCTCGCTCCTCCGGGACTCGCTCGACCCGTAGATGGTGGATCGCATTCCCAGGCGGCAGAGTGAGCGCTAGGCAGCCGTCCATCCCCCTCTCCCCTGCCCCCTGTCTCCACCTCCCACCACACCAGGTTCTGCACGCGCTCGCTCCTCCGAGACTCCCTGGACCCCGAGATGGTGGAGCGCATTCCCGGGCGGCAGAGTGAGCGCAAGACGGCGCTGGGCGAGCTCAACTGGATCTTCACGGCCGTCACCGACACCATCGCCTGGAACACCCTCCCCACGCACCTCTTCCAGCGGCTGTTTAGACAGGACCTGCTCGTCGCGTCGCTGTTTCGGAACTTTCTGCTCGCGGAGAGGGTGATGAGAGCGAGTGGGTGCACTCCTGTTTCTTACCCACGGCTCCCACCCACTCACCAGCACCATTTATGGTAAATAGAGGGGTTTGTGTGCGCGTGGAAGGTATTTTCTTGAAAGACTTTCCGCTCGCGGAGAGAGTGATGAGGGCGAGTGCGTGCACGCCTGTGTCGTACCCACGGCTCCCACCCACGCACCAGCACCACCTATGGTACAATGGAGGGATGGGTGGGGTGGAGGATTTTTTTTTTTTTATTCGGTCGGGTATTGCGGGTTGTATTGCGAGTGGGGAATCCGAAACTATCTCTTTGCTGAAATTTTGATGAGGTTGAGTGGGTTCACCGTGCACGCCTGTGTCGTACTCACAGCTCATCCCTGCCCCTTCTCCTTCCTTCTTCATCCAGACATGCATGGGACATGGCAGCAAAGATGTGCCTCGCACAGCTGCCAGCGTTGTTCCCACCTGCGCTGCACCTCTGTCTCCCTGCTCTTCCCCGCTCCTTCTCCCCCCTGCTGCTCGCCCCTTCTCCCCCCTCCCAGGCACGCGTGGGACATGGCAGCGGAGATGTGTCTCGCACAGCTGCCAACGCTCCTTGCAGATCCGAACGCCGAGTTCCAGGCAAGCTAATCTCTTGTCTGACTAGGCCAGTTCTCCTCTGTTCAGAAGCAAGAGAGTTTCAAGACGTTTTACAACTATACAAACATGCGTTGTACCAGAAGCAATTGCTTGCGTTACCTACTTCTGCTCTCCAGAGGACTCAGCAGGAGACTCCACTCCAGTATCCTGATCGTTCGTTAACCGAGGGATGTCTGCACAAAGTCCGTAGCAAATGCCTCCTCTCTTCGCTGATTGTCTGCCTGCCCGATTCCATTTCCCGCCCTTCTCTGCCTGCCAGCCCAGCAGCTTCTTCTCGCAGCAGCTGATGGCGTTTGAAGTGTGGCTGGAGCATGGCAGCGACAAGAAGAGACCCCCAGAGCAACTCCCCATCGTGCTGCAGGTCGGTCTGTCCGTTCCTAGTCAGTCCCCTTGATCATTTATTCATTCTTGTGCTCCGTAGAGGTTTGTACGTCTGCTATGCTTAAGAGTCAACATAATATTGAAGAATTGCTGTTCCTCCACCTCTCCCTATCCTCCTCCTCCGCCTCCTCCTAACCGCCTCCCCCGCATCAGGTGCTACTCAGTCACTCGCACAGGTTGCGAGCTCTCGTGCTCCTAGGGCGATTCCTCGACATGGGCCCATGGGCCGTTGATCTGGTGAGTCACACTGTCCGCTGTTCCTCTCTCCTAGCCCCTCCTGCTCCACCCCAAGGTGACTTTTGAGTCGACTCAAAAGTCACCCCTGCTCGCCCCCGCCTCCCCCCCTCCCCTCCCCTCACTCCTCATGCACGTTCTGTTAGCATCTACTCCCTCATCAATTCAACATTCCACTCAGTTGAATCCTCTCTCTCTCTTGAGGTTCCATCGCTAATGCGCCCTCGCGTTTCCCCCATCTACCTAATCAACTCCCAGGCGCTCTCAGTCAGTATATTCCCCTACATGCTGAAGCTGCTGCAGACGAGTGCAGTGGCAGGTTGGGTCATCTCAAGTCAATTGAGCATTTTTTCCCCTCTTCCCTCCTGCGCCCATACCTCCCAGGCGCTCTCAGTGGGCATATTCCCGTACGTGCTGAAGCTGCTGCAGACCAGCGCAGTGGAGCTGCGGCAGATTCTCGTGTTCATCTGGACCAAGATTCTGGCTCTCGACAAGGTATGCAATTTTGATGAGTGTTGGATGGGAACAAAACAGGGTTGTGATCCTATTCAGCACATGGATACTCGTGTTCATCTGGTGAGGGACGGCAGGCACATGGATTTCTTTTGCACGCACATGTGTTGTCCCGCCTTCCTTTGCTTTCTCCGCCCTTCCATGGTTACAGTCGTGCCAGGTGGATCTAATGAGGGATGGCGTGCACATGTGATGTGAAAGCTACCTCCTCTTTACACCAGCAAGTATATCACTGCTGCTGACACCCTGTTCCCTCTCCTGTTTCCTGCTCTGTCCTTTTTGTGCTCCTCTCTTCCTTGGCTCCAGTCATGCCAGGTGGATCTGGTGAGGGACGGCGGGCACATGTATTTCATCAAGTGCCTTGAGACGCACGAGCCATACTCCTCCGACCCTAGGGAGCGAGCCACAGTGGCCTTTCAGCGAGCCATGGCCGCCTTTGTGCTCGCGCTCATATGCGACGGTCATCCCAAGGGGCATCAGGCCTGCCTGCAGGTGGGCTGCTTGCTAGGGGACAATTAGACTACGGTGGTACAGGACAATTCCCGCACTGCAGGTGTGCTTGTTGCTGACTGAGACAATGTTGCCGCGGCGGTTTTGCAATGTGTTTTGCTTGCAACGAAGCAAATCCCTCTTGCCCTTCCCTTTCCCCAGACATGACTCGTCCCTCTCTGCGTCGTACGCATCTCCTTCCCCACCTGTCCCCACGCCCTTGTCTTGCTCTCCAGGCGGGTCTCATCCCCTTGTGCTTGATGCACATCCAAGCCGCCCCTCCTGCGGAGCCACTGCTGCTGCAGTGGCTGTGCCTGTGCGTGGGCAAGCTGTGGGGGGGAGCGCCAGAGGCACAGGCAGCGGCGTTGGCTCAACATCGCGCCCCTCAGATCCTTTCTCCGTTGCTGTCAGAGCCACAGCCAGAGGTGAGAGTATGGTGTTTAGAAATAAGTTTTATTTGGAACATGCATGGCGGGCACGGGAACATGCGTCAGGGGGTCACGAATTGCAGGGTCAACAGTAGTTGGCGGAGCAGGGGGCGTGTGAGGGGCAGGAGGAGGATGCTGGAGGAGGACAGGGACATGCTTGTCCACTCTTCCAATTCTGTACAGCCGCGCCTGGGGATGGAGAGAGAGCAGAGGGAGGGAGAGGGGGCGGAGAAGGAGAGGTGGGATTAACAGGAGATGGAGGAGATGACAGAGAGGAAGGAGAGAGGTGAGGTGAAGGAAATGCAAGGAGTTTTCGAGTTAGGCGCCTGATGTGTCATGTGTGTCTGAGTGATTGCAAGAAGGAAAGGTTTTTGGGTTGTGGACATGTATTTTGCTAGCTTTGCCTATCTAATGCACCGCTTGCAGAATACATGCCCACAACCCAAAACCCTCTCCTTCCTGCAATCACTCAGACACACAGGACACGTCAGGCGCCTAGCCACAGCACCAAGCACCAGAGGAACAGGCCGCAGCACTCGCTCATCACCGCGCTCCTCAGATCCTCTCACCCTTGCTTTGAGAACCACAGCCAGAGTTGACGGTCCGTAACCCTAATGTAGGAGGTGGTAACCCTTCAGCATGGTTCACCGTCCGACAGAACCATGCTCTCTCCCCGCTTTCCACAATTGCCTCTCTGCCAGGACTTTCAAACCAATTCCACTCAACCCCCTCTCGTCCTCCCCATGCCCCGCCTACCAGGTCCGAACCACAGCCACAAGTGGCCTAGTTGTGTTAATTCACATTGCTGTGTGTGGAGGGGTCTCACAATCTCCCTCTCTTTCTCCCCTACCTCTGCCCCCCTTGTTCCATATTTCACCTATCAGGTCCGAGCTGCAGCAACGTATGCCCTGGGCGCTTTGATCCACATCGCTTCGGAATCGCCACAGCCGGGGGAAGGGGCCGCAGCGGGAGTAGGAACGGGAGTAGGAGCAGCAGCGGGTGCAACAGGAGGGGGGTCAGCTGCAGGTGCAGGGGCTGGGGTTGGTGGGGTTCTAGGGGATGGATCTGCTGCCACAGCAGGAGGAGCAGTAGGGGGTGCAGCAGCAAGAACACCAGGTTCAGAAGCTGGGTCAGCTGTAGGAGGAGCAGCAGGAGGCGTATCAGGAGCAGCAGCAGGAGGAGCTGGGACAGGAGGGGCAGCAGGAGGAGCAGGAGCAGGAGCACAGGGAGTAGCAGGTGCAGGTGGAAGCAGTGCAGGCTTATCTGGGGTAGGGTCAGCTGGGGCGGAGTGGAGGGAGGAGCAAAGATTAGCAGCAGAGAGAGGGGTGTTGCAGGTGTTACTTAAAGTGCTGAATGATGGGAGCCCCATGGTGAGAAAAGAGCTTGCTATAGCGCTGGCTAGAATAGCCCATGGGCATCGCCGGCCGTTTCGGCTCGCTGCGGCGTCTTATCTGTGCCGCCCGTCGCTCGTAGCCGGCAGTGCGGCCGGCATGGGCATGGGGTTCGGCAGGTCCGGTTCGGAATTGGACAGGCTTGGAGCAGGTTCGGAGGTGCATGGGTTTACGGAGAAGATGGCAGGTTTGGGGATGGGTGGAGGTGGAGGGGAAGCAGGGGGGGGAGCAGGAGCAAATGGAGGAGGGGGAATGGCAGGATTGAGTAACACAGCAGGCCTTTCAGGTGCGGGTATACCCTCGTCAGGTTCGGGTCTCAATCTCCCCTCTCTCGCCCCTCATGTCAACATGGTAGGACTTAGGCTCGGCACGGACGGTCGGCTGTATCCCCGGCCAGGTCCGGCAGTGAACGCACCTCTCCCGGTCCTCCAATCCACCGCAGGCTCGGCGGTGGTGGGGCGGATGCTCGCGCAATCTTTTGACGCTGCAGGCTCGGGAGTAGGCTCGGGAGGTACGGCGGCAGGTTCGGGGAATACTGCAGCCTCGGGAGGGTCAGCTTCGTATCTGAGAGTGTATGAGGAGGAAGGGGAGAGAGATGGGGGCGGGGGAGCAGCAGCAGGGGGGACGGGAGGGGGCAAAGGACAGGGGGGTGCGGGGAGTAAGGGCACAGGGGCGGCAGCAACTGGGGCAGGCGGTACTGTAGCAGCTACAGGAGGAGGGGGAGGTGGAGATGGTGGGGTTACAATAACGATTCCTCCCTTGGTGAATGGTATTGTTCCTATAGCAGAAGGTGCTTGTGAGAGCGAAGCTTCATCAGGGGAGGATAGAAGTAGAGGCAATGAGGGCCAACAGCAGTCAGGTGAAAAGCCAGGTGGGAGTGGGAATTCGGCCACAAACCCTCCGTCTACCTCTGCTACAGCTGCCACTATGGCTGCTGCCACAGCTGCAACAGCCGCAGTAGCAGAAGCTGCAGCGGTGGCGGTTGCTGCTGCTGTCAAGAGTTCCGGTTCTCCAGTCACAACCCTCCCACCCGCTCCTCAAAACCCCCTCTTCTCCCTCTCCTCCCCGACCAGCCTCTCAGCTTCGGCGCCGGACCTCTCCTTCCTCCGGGGCGCCGCCGAAGCTGCGAGCGGCTCACCAGGGAAAGTGTTAGGGATGCCTCCAGGGGATGTGACTGTAAGGGGCGGAAGGCCTGGGTGGCTTGGCCAAGGAGCAGGGAGGGTAGGCCCCGCTGGTATGGGTTCTACTAACGGGGGGCTTATATGGGGGGGGCTAGATGTTACAGACAGCGCGACGTACCTGCAGAGCATGATTGCTGTATACACTCTTGCGAGGGACCCTGCTCCGTCTGTATCTAAGATCAGCCGGCAAACACTTGCCCAGATTGGCTCCTCTGTAGCAGCAGCCGCGACGAGTCTCAATGCGGCCGCGGCAGCGGCAGCAGCCGCGGCGGCAGGGGCAGGAGGAGGAGTGGGGGGAGCGGAGGCGGTGGGAGGAGGAATGGGCGGAGCTGGTATGGGGTATGACGCGTTTATGATGCCGATGATGGTTCCCGGGATGGGTGGGGTCGGGGGGGGCATGGCAGCAGGGGGTCTTGCACCGTCTGCTAGCTTCAGCAACTTGACCCGAAGCAGCAGCAGGGATGCTGGAACGGTGATCATCACTGGTGCAGGTGCTGGTGCTGGCGGTGCTGGGGGAGTTTTAGGAGGAGCTATAGGAGGAGCCATAGGCACTCCGAATCTCTCTCTGGCTGCTGCTGCAGCAGTGGGGGCTGCGGGGCCTGTGGGTTTGCCAGGCCTGGGGGGGGTTGGTGCAGGGATGGGGCATCATGGGCTGATGAGTCCTGCCATGAGCCCACGTGTCCCCTCCCCATTGGCTGCTGGATTGGCTCCTGCGATCACGCGGTCCACGTCATGGGTTGCCCCTGTCAACGGTGAGATATATTTGTTTTTACTTTTCTGAACAGAGTGAGGGGTTTATTTTTGAGGCACCTCAAGCATAGGCTCTGTCTTCGTCGTGGGTTGCGCCTGTTTACGATGAGATGTTACGCTTGATTCTTCTTCTAGGTATTGCTTCTGCTGCCGCCGCCGCCGCTGCTGTTGCCGTCGCTGCCGCAGTCTCATAACATTTGTGCCTATATTTGAATGCTCACTTCTTGTCCCGTCCCGCTCTCCCTCCTGTTTCCTGTCCAGCCCCCCACCCAATGGGCAGCTGGCGACAGCTGGCGGCACCACAGCTCGCCATGTCACCCTCTGCTGCTGCAGCCTCGGGGTTCCTCCAAGCCCGGGACCCGTTTGGCCTGGTGGCTCGGGACAGCCTCGGGCTGCCGCCGATGCTGGCAGCAGGTTCGGGAATGCAGGCTCGGGACAGCGGGATGCGGAGGGTAATGACTGCAGTGGATTTCTCGTCGTCCCAGCAGCAACAGCAGCAGCAGCAGCAGCAGCAGCGGCAGATCGGGGGGATGGGAAATGGGGAGATCCTGGGGGGAGTGCATGTGCTGTCATCTATCACTGGAGGAGGAGGGTACCCGCCCTTGAGACCCAATGTGAGTCTGCATGTCATGTGTTTGACAGTAGTTGACCTGACATATGTGAGTCGTTTGCTGCGAGTATGTTTTGACTTAGGTCTCTATCTCTGTCTCTCTCTGTCCTCTCCCCCTTCTCCCATGCAGACTGCAGCTACCTCATCAGACTCCACTGCTCCATCCAACCCACCTGCACATACAACCCCTGCCAGTCGCCCCCAAAACCCTAACTCCACTTCCTCTCAACCTTCCTCTGTCTCCTTCCCCCCTCCTCCCATGCAGGCTGCAGCCACCTCATCAGACTCCACTGCCCCATCCAACCCACCTGCACATACAACCCCTGCTAGTCGCCCCCAAAACCCCAACTCTTCCTCCTCCTCCTCTCAACCTCCCACTGCAAGTGCTGCCCCTGCTGCTGCACCTACTGCCACTTCTGGTGCGGCTGCCGCCACCACCACCACCACCACCACCACCGCCGCTGCAGCAGCAGGCACATTGCCTGCTGCCTATGCAAGTATGACCAATCCCGGATCTGCTTCTGGTACTGCTGCTGCTGGCTTGGGTGCTAGCGGCTCTACAGGCGCAGGTGCTGGTGGCATGAGTGGTGGTGGTGGGGGCAGTGGGCTGGGGGTTTCAGGGGCGATCCCTGCTCCTCTCTCTGCCCCTCTGTCCGCGTCTCTCTCAGCGTCGCTCCTCGACCCGTTTCTCTCGCTGGATGCAGCGGCAGCAGCGCAGGCAAAGCCAGTGCCAAAGTCGGGGCTGTATGCGTGGAGCTGTGGGCACTTGTCGCGGCCGCTGCTGGAGGCAGTGTGTGACGCGGAGGCTGAGACGAGGCGAGCGGCGAGGGAGAAGAAAGCAGTAGAGGGCGTGGCGGAGTGCCGGCGAGCAAGTGAGTATCTGAAGGGGGGGAAAGGGGGGCACTAGGGGGAGGTATTGGGTTGCAGGGTTCTGGGTGGGTCTGTGATGGTTGGGGCATGGAATAAGGTGCAATGGGGTGCATTGGGGGTGCCGTGAGGGTGCAAAGCTGGTGCCCAAATCAGGGCTGTATGCGTGGAGCTGTGGGCACTTGTCTCGGCCGCTGCTGGAGGCAGTATGTGACGCCGAGGCCGAGACGAGGCGAGCGGCGAGAGAGAAGAAAGCAGTAGAGGGCGTGGCAGAGTGCCGGCGAGCAAGTGAGTGTGTGGGAGGGGACTGGGAGGGTTCTGGGTGGGTGTGTGATGTGTGGGAGTGGAATGATGTGCAATGGGTTGGGTGCATTGGGGGTGCTTGGGAGGTGCATTGGGGGTGCAAAGCTAATGCCCAAATCGGGGCTGTATGCGTGGAGCTGTGGGCACTTGTCGCGGCTGCTGCTGGAGGCCGTGTGTGATGCGGAGGCCGAGACGAGGCGAGCTGCCAGAGAGAAGAAAGCTGTAGAGGGAGTTGCCGAGCGCCGGCGAGCAAGTGAGTGCACTGGGGACTGGGAGGGTTCTGGGCGGGTTCTGGGCGGGTCTGTGATTTGTGGGGAGTGGAATCAGGTGCATTGGGGTGCACAGAGTGGGGGTGCCAAAGTCGGGGCTGTATGCGTGGAGCTGTGGGCACTTGTCACGGCCGCTGCTGGAAGCAGTGTGTGATGCGGAGGGGTGGCGGAGTGCCGGCGAGCCAGTGAGTTTCTGTCTGGGTTGACTCTGCACTCTCTCCGCTCTGCTTTCTCCCCACAACCCCTGCTTGCTTCCATTCCCCACAGCCCCCCATCTCCCTCCGCCCCTCTTTTCTTCCTTGTGTGTGCAGCGGTGAGCAAGGTGAGTGATCAGATCGCGAGCTTTGATACCGAGTCAGACACGATGACAGAGGCTGTTCCACCTGCACCCTTTGGCGCCACTCTTAACCTCTTCGCATCCCGCACTTGTCCCCCGATCCCCCTTGTATCTCGCAGCGGTGAGCAAGGTGAGCGATCAGATCGCCAGCTTTGACACCGAGTCAGACATGGCTGTGCTCCTGCACCCCTTCCCACCGCTCTTAACCTCATCCCACCCTGCTCTGCATTCCTCCTCCCTTGTGTGTGCAGCGGTGAGCAAGGTGAGCGATCAGATCGCAAGCTTTGACACCGAGTCAGACATGATGACAGAGGCCGTGCTCCTGCACCCCTTCCTGCCCCTCGTGTGCATTGCGGATGAAAACGAGGTTGTGAGGTGAGCAGGCTAGTTTGGGTGGGAGTCCCTTGACAGGTCTTAGACCGCACCTGCACCCCTTCCTGCCCCTCGTGTGCATCGCGGACGAGAACGAGGTTGTGAGGTGAGGATAGGGACAGTGTTGGTAAGGAAAGTGTTGTTAAGTATGAAACGTCTCAAAGCAGTGTTGATAAAGTACGTAGAACCAACAACATTGGGGAGATGCCCCTTTTTTTTGGTTATTATTATTATTACCTTTAGTTCATATGGCATGTTCTAGCGGGCATTAGTGTTCACCATTCCATCTGTTACACTCTCTGCCGCTCTCTACCTCCCCAGAATCTGGAACTACGAGGAGGGGTTGACAGTGAGCACGTTTGACAACCAGACGGGAGGCGGAGGGGGTGTGGACGGGCACAAGGGAGTCAGCCAGCTGTGCCTGCTCAACGAACTAGACGACACACTGCTGCTTGTTGCCTCCAGTAAGTATGCATTCTCTCTCTCTGTCTCTCGGGCTCGCTCCCTCTCTTTCTCCACATGAGGGTGCGGACGGGCACAAGGGAGTGAGCCAGCTGTGCTTGCTCAACGAACTAGACGACACACTGCTGCTCGTGGCTTCCAGTGAGTAATCCCTTTCTGGTAGAGCCCTCAACCCTTGTTTCCCCCAGCAGACATGTTTTGAGGCGCCTCTAAAGTAGTACGCCAAGGCTAAGCTCAAAAACATGAGCCCCTCCATGTTTTTCTTACATTAAAAGTCATGCTCGATTCGATCCTTCTGTTTCTCTTTCAGGGGATGGCAGTGTGCGGGTGTGGCGGGACTTTGCGCGAAGAGGCAAGCAACGAATAGCCACGGCATGGCAGGCAGTGCAATCCCACTCCCACCACCTCTTCTCCTCCTCCTCCTCCTCCTCCTCCCCCTCCTCCCTTTCCTCCACTGCCCGTCCTTCCTCCTCCGCCCCCTCACCTTCCGCCTCTCCCTTTTCCACATCTTTATCCTCTTCTAATCTACAGTCGCAACAGCAAGCTACTGACTCTAACATGTCGCATCGGCACCATCATCATCACCACCAGCACCATCATACTAACCAGCGTTCAGACCAGCAGCAGCAACAGGCTCGGGGCCAGCAGGGGCGGCCTTCCGAGCCTCTTGCTTCGCCTAACAGCTTCGGCAGTAGCTTCGGCGGCGGGTTCGGCAGCAGCTTTGGCAGTTGTGGAAGCAGCAGCAGCAGCGGGGGAGGGGGGATGGGAGGGTTAGGATCTGGTGGTGGGGGGGGGGGAGGAGCAGGGGGGGGTGTGGGCGCGAGAGGGCGAACGGGGGCAGTGGTGGAATGGCAGCAGCTTATGGGTTACCTGGTAAGGTCTTGTTGTGTGTCTCTAGATCTGATGTGTGTGGTTCTGATGGGGGCGGAGGAGCAGGGGAGGGTGTGGGCACGAGAGGGCGAACGGGGGCAGTGGTGGAATGGCAGCAGCTTATGGGTTACCTGGTAAGGTCTTGTTGTGTGTCTCTAGATCTGATGTGTGTGGTTCTGATGGGGGCGGAGGAGCAGGGGGGGGTGTGGGCGCGAGAGGGCGAACGGGGGCAGTGGTGGAATGGCAGCAGCTTATGGGTCACCTGGTAAGGTCTTGTTGTGTGTCTCTAGATCTGATGTGTGTGGTTCTGATGGGGGCGGAGGAGCAGGGGAGGGTGTGGGCACGAGAGGGCGAACGGGGGCAGTGGTGGAATGGCAGCAGCTTATGGGTTACCTGGTAAGGTCTTGTTGTGTGTCTCTAGATCTGATGTGTGTGGTTCTGATGGGGGCGGAGGAGCAGGGGGGGGTGTGGGCGCGAGAGGGCGAACGGGGGCAGTGGTGGAATGGCAGCAGCTTATGGGTTACCTGGTAAGGTCTTGAGTATCTTGAGCTTTTTTTTGCATGGCTCTGATGTGGAAGGTGGCAGGAGTGGTAATTCGATAGGGGTCATGAGATCAGGATGTGAGGGCGCTTTTGGTGTGTTTCCCGCGAAACAATCTTATTTCCTCGCTTTTCTTGTGTTCCCTTGCTCCATCCACCCGCGCCACTCACCCCACCACACGCATTGGGGCGAGTCTCCTCCATCCCCATGCGAGACTGTGACAGGGAGATGCTAGCGCACGCTTTCGTTTGCTTCCGCCCGCTCCATTCATGCCCCTTCCACCCACCCCCTCCGCCCCACCACCAGTACGCATCGGGGGAAATCTCCTCCATCCTCGTGTGGGACCTTGACAGGGAGCTACTAGCGCACAGTGTGCCCACTGAGTGTGATTCAGCTGTCACTGCGCTGGTGAGTGCTGCTGTGAGCGCGGGCTGTGGGTGCTGCTGGCGTTTGGTGCTGCTGCTGCTGCTACACTAGGAGCTGTTGCTGCAATGGGTACCCATTGAGTGAGTGCGGCTCTGCCCTTTCCACTTCTGTCCTCAACCCACTCGAATCCTCTCTACCACCCTCCTCTCCACCTGCCTCTCCTCTCCCAGGGCTCATCTGTCATCCAGCCAAGTTACGTGGCAGCGGGGTGTGACGATGGCTCTGTGCGGCTATTTGACATCCGGTCGCAGCCTCGGGCACAGTGAGTGCATTGTGTGATTTTTTTTATGCGTCTCTGTGCGGCTGTTTGACATTCGCTCTCAGCCCCAGGCACAGTGAGTGTGGCTTTGGGGCGGCAGTGGTACTTTCCGTAATTTGTGGTTTGGGATGTGTTTGGTGCGGTTCTAGGAGCACTCAAAACCTTGCCTTCCACATCACATCCCTCTCCCCGACACAAAAACGTTCCACCCCGCCAGCACTGCCGCTTTTGAGAGCACTCAAAATTCTTGCCTTTCCCATGCCTCTCCCCCCTCTTACAGGCTTGTGTGCGGCACTCACCATCACTCGCATTGGGTAGCGGGGATTGCTGTTTGTCATTTTCAACATCAACTTGCCTCCCCACCTTGCCTCCCCCCCGTCTCTCCTCCTCCAGGCTTGTGTGCGGCACACACCATCACTCGCATTGGGTAGCGGGGATTGCCGTCCACCCCTCCAGCACTGCCGCCAGCACTGCCGCTTTTGAGAGCACTCACAACCTTGCCTTTCCCATTCCTCACCCACCCCTTGCAGGCTTGTGTGCGGCACGCACCATCACTCGCATCGAGTTGCAGGGATCGCCTTTCACCCCGCCAGCACTGCCGCTCCCCAGGTACGCACTTTAGGCATCCTCGTTAGAAACACTTTACTTACAATCATTCCAGGCACTTTTGTGACTTCTTATCTTCCCAACCTGTTTTTTTCATGCTTCTCTACCTGACTTTTTTAGTTAATTTTTGCCAATTCTTGCCACATTCTCACCATGATTTTCTGCGTGCAGATTATTTCTGCTTCCAGCTCCGGCGAGATCGTGTTTTTAGATGCCCGGAATCCGGGGCAGCCAATCAGAAGAGTGGAGGCGCACAAGGGGCACCTCACAGCGCTCTCCGTTCACCGGCACCTGCCCGTCATGGCCACGGGCAGCTCGAAACAATTAATCAGAGTGAGTAATGCTGTCCGATGCGGCGAGTTTTGTGATGTGCAGCTGAATTAACTGGCTGCAAACTAACGTGAATTCTCAAGTTTTTCTTCAATTTTCAACAAGTAGGAGAACCTCTTCACGGTCCCCTAGAACCACAGCAGCTTTCTCGGCATAAAGGTCGATCCATGCTTCTGCTGCAACCCAACATTGCGTGTCTTATCCCCATTTTCCCCCTCAGGTGTTCAGCATGTCAGGGGACCTCCTCAGTGTTGTGTGCTACCACAACAGCTTCTTGGGCCAGCGCATCGGCCCCGTCAGCGCTCTGCACTTCCGATACGTCTCTCAAGTTGCCTTACTCTCCCCTCTCTTGCCAGGTGTTCAACATGTCATTTTTTAGAATTCTCAAAAATCACGCGCAGGTGTTCAACATGTCAGGGGATCTCCTCGGTGTTGTGCGCTACCACAACAGCTTCCTGGGTCAGCGCATCGGCCCCGTCAGTGCGCTGCACTGATTGAGTGTCACGTGTATAACCCCTCTCTCCGGGACCAACTTCCCCCCCAAACAACTTTCAGGTATTCAACATGTCTGGCGACCTATTGAGTGTTGTCCGCTACCACAACAGCTTCCTGGGCCAGCGCATTGGCCCCGTCAGCGCGCTGCACTTCCATCCGTACAAGCGTCTGCTTGCTGCTGGGGCTACAGACTCCATTGTTTCAATCTATGCTGGGGAGACACACCGCAGCTAGTAGAGGGGTGCAGAGGAGTGCAGAGGGGGAAAAAGGGAGGGCAGCGCATTGCACTTCCACCCATACAAGCCACTGCCTGCTGCCGGTGACACTTATTTCACTGTCTCCATCTATGCGGGGGAGACGCACCGGATTTAGCAGTATGGCTGCAGGTGTGGAGGTGGAAAGCGGTGCAGAGTTGTGCAGACGGGTGCAGGGAGGGCGCAGAGGTGTGGGGGTTCAGTGCGCTGCACTTCCACCCGTACAGGCCACTGCTCACCGCCGGTGCCTCCGATTCCATTTTTTCCATTTATGTGGGGAAGAAGCACCAGTATTGGGGGGGATGAAGCTGGAAGAGTTTTCGGGGGTTGCAGAGATGCGGAGGTGGGGAGGGGTGCAGAGGGGTTGGGGGGGCGCATGGACCATTGACTTCACTGTCTCCATCCAGGGACCTTTGTCAGTGCAGTGCCCCAGCCCGCCAGTCCTGTCAGTCCTTAGTCTATGGGCAGTGATCTAAGCATGTAGAGGTTACTGGGTTGGAGATTAGCTGCCAGCCAGGAGAGAAGCTGCTTGTGTTTCCACCTGTACAGGCTTCTTGTGCTTCTTGCCATTGTTACAAAGTCGCTCACTTGATCTGATGCTGAGATGTGTGGTGGCTGATTTTGTGAGGGTAATAATAGGGGTGGGACAAGGATTAGAAATGCAGAGTTTTGTGCGCTGCATATATTATATTCTAGCAGCTAGGGTTAATGTAGTAACGGATGTGTTTGACCAAGGTACAGCATAAGGATGTCTCTATTTCAAAGTATCCCCCAAGGGTACATTCCCAATTTCCCACAGACCACATGTAATAGTTTTTCCTATCAACGATCGCAACTATTTCAGTAGAGAGTACACGGGGTGTGTCGCCAATGCCATTGAACGAGTTATGCTGTGGAGTGTCATTCTTTCGTATCCATTCTGGCAGTGGATCTTGTGCATCTCATCATTTCATAAGGGTTGTCAACCCGTTTTGACCGACCCTGCTAAATAGCAGGGTGACCTTCGAAGAACCCTGTTTTGCCCTAAGCTCCTATTGTTTTGCATGGTGGGGCCGAAAGGCAGCTGAATTCTGGCAGGGTGTCGATTCCACTATGATATACGGCTATCAAATATAAACGCCCAGAAATTTCGAGTCAACAATGGTCGAGTCAACGATTTCACTTCACGACAGAAATTGCATCTGCATTTGTTTGTCCCTTTTGCGAAAGAGCGTCAGCAACTTCCGCTGGTCAGTCTGGGATTCGGGTTTCCCAATCATAACGTCCAGTTTTTCACATGCCAGAGCGACTTGACTTGGACTTTTGCTTCTGGGTTTTTGTGTCGAAAGCGGATGAATCACCTCACGCAAAGGAACAACGCACTCACCCGAGATCCTGAAACTGAGGCCACAGCAACGCGACAGACCTCAATCTCCTGAATCTCCTCTCGCACGCTCCAAGACAGCTTGCTCGATCACGCGAACTGATCTCGGAGAATCATCTCTGGGCTTGCTCGGCTTGCTCTTTTCCTAGATGCCAGCGCTCTCGTCCTTTTCTGGCGGGTGGTTTTGATGAGTGCAAGGGCCCAGGAAACCGAACAACACACCTTGCCCGTATGCTGTGTGAAATGTGGAAATTCTTCGGTTGAGACTGTTTCCGTAGTTTTTCAGGAATTGCAGGTTGGTACAGAACGGTGCTGGGGCACTGGAATGAAGTTGATTTGGGGTTGTCAGGCCAAGTGTAGTTTCGGAAGGTTTTCCCTAGCTCCGCGGGGTTGTACAGCAGTGTACCCACAGCAGTTGTGTGGTTCTGTGAAGTCCTGCTGTGCATTCAACATCTGCTTCGTTTTACACTGTACAGGTGTATACAGTAATCTAGAACTGCAATCGCTTAGTGGATCAGCTGCTTTCGCGCCTAAAATAATCTTGCAGGACAGCTGTTGCTTGAAATCCGAAAGCCTGTCAAAACTTTTGCTCCAAGCGTGCCTGCTAAAACACCATGCACCATCCTCCAAAAAAAGCCGCTGGAAAATGGGAGAAGCGAGTGGTGGTGAACGTAGCTCCCGCAACGCAACCACAAGTGCGAGTGAGACTTTCGAGGCATGCAACAAATGACAGCATCCGTTTGTGCTTGCATTCCTGGCACCGCCTCAAACCTCGCCGCCATTACCTCCCCACCACCGCATCTGGAATGGAGACGACCGTCCTCAGGCTCTGCCCTGCTGCATCACTTCTCTCATCATCGCTCCCACACATCCAAGTCATTCGCTGAAGCTCCCACACATCCAAGTTATCTCGTCCCTATCCCATCCACTATGCAAATGCTTTGAAGATTGTCTACCCGTCAAGCACTGCCAACTTGAATAACCGCCTGGTTGCTGAACCCTGCATGGACCTATAGGGCATGCTTGCACTTCCTAACTGCTCCTAGGCGCAAGTAACTAAAAGCAGTACCAGGAGAACGCCAGTGTCAGTTGAGAGAACGCCACTGGTGCGACACGCGCTCAATATTCTCAAAACTGCTAACAGAGATAATCCCGTCCGCGACTATCATACTGAAGTAGTAGTAGTAACACCGTGTTACTGAGACAATAACTATGGCATCCTCTGACTTTCAGCGGACCCGTTCGCATGATTCCCGGCGGTGCCGCTCGCAAGATTCCGCGGAATGCGCTGGATCTGCTTTCTCGCTCTCCCCGCGTGATCTGCTCCCTCCGCAAAGGTCTCCTTCCGCGCACTTCCCGCATCCCTCGCATGTCCCACGCTCCCCGCTTCCCCGGCTGGCGAATCCAACGCCGCGTAGCCAATCCTGCCCGATTGACCAATCAGATCCCGTCTATGCGCAACACATCGCGCTCACGCGCAGCGCCAGCGCCGCCGCGCTCCCGCATTCAGGCGTGGAGCTTTCCCGCCGCGCCGACTTTCCCTGTGGCGCAACTGCCGCCGCGCTCCCCCTGCCTCCGCTCGAATGCGCATCGGCGCAGGCTGCTGCGGGATTTTCGTGGTCCGCTGACACAACACGCGGGGGCGTTTGCGCGACTCAGGCGACTCGGTCGCGCTCCTCGCCTTCATTATCTCCCGCCGTAAGCGGCCGGGGCAGCGGCAGTGGCAGCGACGGCGCCTGCTCTGATGCTCACGCTTGCGGAGAGAATCCGCGGAGCTTGCGCCAATCTGCGCGCACATTCGATCCCTCGGTATTGCCGCGCCTGTCGCAGCGGAGAGCGCGCACCAGCTTCGACGCTGAGCACACATCCCTTGCGGAGAATTTCAGCCCTTCCCCAGTGGTTCTATTCAACGGGCGGCCAGCTTCCCCCGCGTTCGCGCTTCCCCCGCCCCCGCTGGCGGAATCTCCCGCTGTTTCCGCGCCCAACACGCCCTACCCGCCCAACACGCCCCACGCGCCCAGCACGCCGATCGGCGCCGTTGCGGCAGCCCGGAGAGCCTTGGCGGAGGAAATCCCCGCATTCGCAAGGGTGTCGTGCGAAGTACGACCTCCGACACCGCGACCTCCCACTCCCCGAGGGAATGTCGCGATTCGCTCGTGACTCGTGGCTCCGCTCTGGATACAATTCGCTCGGTTTCTTCACCTCAATAACCTTTTTGAAGACGACAGGAGATTTTTACTCAGCAGCAGCGTTTGCTGTGTTTTCTTGATCTCGACATGGGATCAGCTTATACGGGTTCACAGATGATTTTGTGGCTTCTTGTGTGTTACATTACATTACAAGTTGTTACATACGTTTTCTGCACTGTTATGTGTAAATTCAGACCTCAAATTGATAATGTACCGTCTGGCAGACACTGCATTCAAGTGCTTGGAAACCAAACTGCACAATTTCTGTCACTAATTACTCTAGTTTGGTAAGCAGGCACATGGATTAGGAAATTGATGCATGCCAGTGATACAGTAGTCCAAACAGGCTAGAAGAAAGCTAGAGCTTAGAAATAGGAGCAAACATGCTATCAGCTAAACCAACTGGCGGTGCTAGGGAGCCAATGAGAAGACAGCAATGATGTGCCACCTGAAAGGAGTTGATCCAGCCAATCTCAGTACAAGCCGTTGACCTTCCACCAGAAGGCGCAAACTGCGATCCAAATGGCAAAGTTGACCGCTGCTGTGATGGCCCCAAACTTGAACACGTCTGGCAGGTCAATGTAGCCAGCTGCAGCACACAGAGAGGATGGGGGGGTGGTATTAACAGGAACAATAAATGAGAGTGGAATATGCTGCATGTTACAGTCAGTGTGATGGCCCCAAACTTGAACACATCCGGCAGGTCAATGTAACCAGCTGCAGGAGCAGGACACAGAGGGAGGGAAAATGGTAACCTGGATGTAGTGTGCTGAACAAGTCATACAGGTCGATGTATCCTGCTGTAGTGGTTGAGCCAAACAGCCCTCGCACACTCAACAACACCCCATACCCGTTATAGTCTCACCTCCGTAGTACAACGCGGCCTGCCCGCTGCTGTAGTGGGTGATGGAGCCAAAAAGGTTGGTGTTGAGCGCGAGAGCCAATGCCGCGAGAACACCTGGCACGCCTGCCGCCAGCTGCATGGCCAGGAAGGCCGAATAGAGAGCGCCCACGTGGCCGGTCTGGCTGGCAAAGAGGTAGTGCGAGCCGAAGTACATGGCCTGGGGCAGATGGGCGAACAGGGAAAAAGGGTTTAGGGGTTTGGTTGAGAGCACCCACGTGGCCAGTTTGGCTGGCAAACAGGTAGTGCGAGCCGAAATACATGGCCTGGGGGAATGGAAGGGAACAGGAAAAAGGGCTTTCAGGGGCTGGGGTGGGATGAAGCTTGCACGCCCACGTGGCCGGTCTGGGTGGCAAAGAGGTAGTGCGAGCCAAAGTACATGACCTGAGGAGGGATGGGGGAATGGGAAGAAGGGTCTAGGGGTTAGGGTGGGATGAGGCTTGCTGGAAAGAGAAGTAGCGCGCCCACGTGGCCGGTTTGACTGGCAAAGAGGTAGTGCGAGCCGAAATACATGGCCTGGGGGGAAT